TCCAATTTTGCTGGCATCATAGAAATTTAGAAACAGCGGCTGGAGCAGGTAAAACTTGGAATATCTTAAGTATGTGTTCTGCAGATTAGGAACTGGAGCAACTATAACATGCTTGCAATGATGCCACCCATGACTTTGAGCTTCTGATTTAAGAAATATAAATACCAAAATATGGTCATCATACCAATAAAGTCCTGTAAAAAGGTAATAATATTATTGGTTTTATACATTTATATACTAAAAATATGAGTGACTTTTGCTATAGAACTCTTTGTACTTTTAAGGCCTACAAATCTTTGACATCATTTATGTTCTGACATTTTTCTAAGCATTGATTGGTTCAACTTTATGAATAATCACTGCCTTGAATCATTTGACAATAGACTGACCTGAGTATATTTTGTGTATGATGTAAGGACTAATTAGTAATAATATTTTAACTATCAATTGCTGATATGTGCCAGGCACTGGAGTTCACTTTACATGTTTTAGCTTGTTTGATGTTAACAACCACCTTGGTGGATGTATGTATTGTTGTCTCTATTTCACAAACTGAGTACATGGAGTTTATATCCAAGTTTATACAGCCAATAAGAGGCAGAAGCAGGATGAAAACTCAGTCTGGTGTCAGAGCCTGGATTTTAAACAATATTCTCTTGCCTCATATAATAAAATATGCTATTACATGCTATATCTCTAGAATATAGCCTATTCCTTAGACGTTATTCCGTGTATTCCCAATCATATAAGTGACCTGACAAAACCAGTATTAAGGTAAAATTGTAAGCACTGCTTGACAATATAGGGTTTGGAAAAGATGTTATGAAATGCAGGTTTATCTTAATCAGAATCTAAGTAGCCTGTTTAATTCACTCTAAATAGCAGATTGGGCAGTGGAACTTTTTGATGACTAAACGTTCGTGTCCTCAATGTGTTTACTTTAACGCAATATTAAATCAGTTTTGAAAAGGTACAGGTGTGTTTGGGTAGCTTTTCTCTCTAAGTAGCGAATTTGTAACATTAACGAAAATGTTTTTGCACCTGGATTTGGATAGCGATAACAAACTTTCTCAGCCTAAGAATAAATTGGTACTCCTACTTAAAATTTTTTTCCGTGATTTTAAAATATTTTAATTCTAAATAGTTTTGGAAAGGCCCACGACAATAAACAAATAAAATTTGTTTACATAGGTGCTACAAAACCTTTCCTTTTAATAGAGATTTTTGTTCTTTGCAACGAGTTAATGATCTTCAAGCAAAGGGGCTACAGTATAAGAAATAATTTTTTTTTGTGGATTCCAAGGCTGTTATCCATAGGTTTAAAATGATTCTGCTGTTTTGAATCTTTTTCCTTTTTTTATGGTCCTACCTGATAGTTCTGATTTTGTTCCTTTCTTAACATGAAGATTGTTCCATTTATAGACGCTTTGCACTGGTTATTCTTTCTTCTTCCTACCTGGAAAGCTCTTCTGCCTGACTCATCCTTGGATGGCTGGCTCCTTCTTGTGATCTTAGCCCAGATAGCACCTCTCGGTAGAGTCTTCCCCATACTGTCCACCTAAACCAGCCACCCAATCACTTGCTACAATGTAGCTGTTTTATTTTTCTCTGAGGTCTTGTTACCTAATATATTTTTGTTGGTGTTGATTGATATATGCAATGTCTTCCTCCTGAATTACAGGTAAGCTCCACCTGAGCAAGTATCTTTCCTCCTTGTTCACTGCTGTCTCATCAGAGTCAGTCTCAGTGCCCGGTAAATAGTGGATCATCATGTACTAGTTGAAAAATGGCTTTTTGATTCATGACTTGAGAGTGCCAGTGCTGTATGTATTGTGAACAACGTAGCAATGAGATGATCTGTTATTCAGCTTGCAGCACTAATGTTTATTGACAATAGTCTAGCACCTCTTGTATGATCCTGGATAGAGCTGGAGTCCATTCTACTAAGTGAAGCATCCCAAGAATGGAAAACAAGCACCACATGTACTCACCATCAAATTGGTATTAACTGATCAACACTTATGTGCACACACGGTAGTAACATTCATCGGGTATCGGGCAGGTGGGACGGGGGAGGAAGGGGTGGGTATATTCACACCTAATGCGTGCAGCGCGCACTGTCTTGGGGATGAACAGGCTTGTAGCTCTGACTCGGGTGGGGCAAAGGCAATATATGTAACCTCAACATTTGTACCCCTGTAATATTCTAAAATTAAAAAACAAACAAACAAACACAAAAAACAATAAAGTCCTAGGGATGGTACTCATGGCCTAGCCTAAGAGTTAAGTGATTTAACTCATGCAGTTTGAACCTACATTATTCCCCAAAAAATCACATTACAAAAACCTACACCTAGATATGTCCTTTAAAAACTTACTTCTATTGTGTAATTATGTACTTAGGAAAATTGCTCCTAAGTGAAATTGCTGGGTCAGTGGTTATGTAGCAATTATATCTAAGTATATAATATCATAATATATATCTATATACACATATAATTTCAAACTTTGTGGTAAAATATACATAACATGTAACATTAAATTTACCATCTTAACCATGTTTAAGTATATAGTTCAGAAGTGGTAAGTACTTTCACATTGTTATGCAACCAATCTCCAGAATTTTTTCATCTTGCAAAGCTGAAACTCTATACCCGTTAAACAAATAGTCCCCACTTGCCCATCCCTCAGCCCCTGGAAATCTCTATTTTACTTTCCATTTCAATGAATTTGTCTACTCTAGGTACCTCATATAAGTGAAATAATACAATGCTGTCTTTGTATGTGACTGACTTACTTTACTCAGTATAATGTCCTTAAGGTTCATCCATGTTGTAGCGTGTTCCAAAATTTCCTTCATTTTTAAAGCCGAATAATATTCCATTGAATGTATATACTACATTTTGTTTCTCCATTCATCCAGCGACGGACACTGGCTTGCTTGTACCTTTTGACTGTTGTGGATGATGCTGGTGTGAGCATGGATATACAGATATTTCTTCGGGAGCCTGCTTTGCTTTCAATCCTTTGGATATATGCACAGTTGTGGGATTGCTGAATTATTTGGCATTTTTATTTTTAATTTTTTGAGGAACCACCATACTATTTTTTCCACGACAGCTGCACCATTTTACATTCCCACCAACAGAGCACAGGCTTTCCAGTTTCTCCACATCCTAGTTAACACTTGTTAGTTTTTGTTGTTTTGATGGTAGCCATGCTAATGGATGTAAGGAATACTAGTTGTATTTTAACACATATCGTCACACTAATGTCTCTTAGTGGATCTTGGAAATTGTGCCAGAGTTGTTACAGGAGGTAACAATAGGTCACTGTGAGACATGAAGCTTTGAGCCTGGCCAGTTTCTGTACCTGCCAATGTGGATTTGGTCTCTTTGCTTCTGATCTGCAGGAAAAACACGCCTGACACTGGCCTGCTAGCAGTTGGTTTCTGTCCTACGTCCTTCTGAGTAGACAGATGCCAGGTGTGGCCCGTGGCAGTCTGAGAATCCGTGTGTAGATGAACCTAAGAAGACTCCTGGTGGGCATCACATGGCTCCAGCACTGTACAGGGTTTAGTGACGACTAAATACTTGGTTTACTCTCGACATTTTAAGTATCAGTTGTAGGGATATTGTATGCTTTTGATTGTCTTCTCATGACATGGGAATAATAAATTTCCCACTAAGTCTTTAAATATTCATTTGTTACTTTTTGAGTCATTTAAATATATAATTAACTTTATTTCAGAATGCATTTTGTGTGACTGATAGTTATGTTCTCTCATTTTGTGATTTAAAGAATAATAAGAAAAAAGGACAAACACACGTTCAGTATATATTTGCACATTTAGAATGGGCTACTTCTTAAGGTTGTCATATTTGTATCTATACTAATATATATTTGTATACTAACATATATATCAGTAGATTAGTATTTCAGCACGTCCTTTATGCTAAAGGCATGCAGAAGTAAACC